AATTCTACATTTTCAGATATTTCATGCATGTTGTTTGTTGTTATTTTCATGTGCCATCGAGTCACTGACAACTCATAGCGACCCTATGTACAAGAGCCCTAAATGTCGCTCTATCCTGTGCCAACCTCACCATCTCTGACACACTCATTCCCACCATCCCAATCACAGAATCGATCCATCTCATCGAGGGTCTTCCTCTCCTGCACCGTCCCTCTCCAAGGACCAGTCCCTCCTTGCAACTTGCCCAAAGTATGTCAGACGAAGCTTCAGAATCCTTCACTCCAGGGAACATTCTGGCTTCACCCTCTTCAGGACAAATCTGTTTCTTCTCCTAGCAGTCCATGGTATATTCAACACTCATCTCCAGCACCACAGCTCAAAGACATCAATTCTCCCTTTATCATCCCTACTCACTGTCCAACTCTCTGATGCATAGCACATAATTGAGAAGACTATAGCCTGGATCAGGCGCACCTTAGTCTCCAGTCTGACATCATTGCTCTTCAGTACTCTTGAGAGGTCCCTCACAGCTGACTTTAAAACTTTCTTTGTTAAATGTATTATTAAGTTAAAAATAACTTTTAAAAAAATATGCTACATAGTGACTGTTAATTTTCTATTATTTGCTGCTGTTGTTGATTGCCAGCAAGCTGCACAACTCACAGCAACTCTATGAACAAAAGGCCTGAAGCATTTCTATAACTATTGTCGTTTCTCCAAGTTCATGGAGAAGCATGTGGTTTAGGAAGTGGATGCCACTCCTGCTTCTCTTATCCATCAAGAAGAAATTAAATAATTCAGTGTTCGCAATGTTCAGTCAAATTAGATAACATTGCCACAACATCTTTTTATTTTTTTCTGTGTGAAACATTACAGTTTCTCAACGCATTCTTTCTGGCTTCGGTTTTAAGGTGAAAACTGCATTACTTCTAATTAGGCTAATAACACACGCAGTTAGTTATTTTAAGTTACAGTTCTAGGCCTGCATTTTACATTTTGAGCTAATCTTTAAAATCTGGACAGCTTCCATTAACACCATTACAAGAACTACTAGCCTTTTATTTATTAAACATCATTTCCTCCAAATGATCTTAAAATGTAAAAGGCCTCACTCACAGCAAAGGACAAGACTGCCATCTAGCGTTTTCAAACTGCTTGCTCAGCCACGTAAAAGGAGCTGAAGTCCTGCATCCATACAAAGGCTGAATACCAAGGCAGCCCTATCTACCTGGTAGCAAACAAACATCTGTGTCTGCAAGATCGATGAGAGAAAAGAACAAATGGAGATTTGCTCTATAAGTAAAAATTGGGAATTTAATTTCCACCCCTTAGTACCAAAATAAGCATAACAAAATTTTTATTAAAGTACATTTGAACTTGTATTTTCTTAAAAAAAAAAAACCCACCACAAAACCCACCTCACTGATTTAATACTGATTATATGATAAAATAAAATAAAAACTATGTTGAATGTAAGTTAAAGAGAAGATCTTGCTAAGTTCATGTCACCTGCTTCTTTTTTCTTTCTTCAACATTCTGAAAGCCCTTTTATTTGCTGACCCCTAACCAAGTCACAGCTCACCCTCTATTTGTTTGTTGAGGTTATAAACCACAAGACTGTATATCTTTCTCCTGAGGAGACACTGGTCGCTTCAAATTGCCAGAGACGTCTTTGAGTTAACAGTGCAACTGTCTATGGATTAAGTCACCAGAAAATAGCTATCAGAAAATTTAGCAATTCAGATAGCACTCATCTTTGTATTTATTAATATACGTAAGTTTTATCTATTTAGAATCATATCTTTTCTTTCTTTATATTGAACAGCACTATGAGAAAGCTCTCACAGCCATCTTGGGATGTTAAGCAGCATTTTTAGCCTCTACATTCTGATGTCCTTAACATAAAAATGGAACAAAAAAATAACAATGAAAAAAAACTAGACCCTGAGAGTTTGGCTCCATTTTGCTATTTAAACTCATATACCTTTTTTAACTACAACTATTTTTTTAAAAGAAGCAAAATCTTGAGTGCCTTTTTAAAAGTTATTATCATAATTATATAATATGTAATTATAAAAGGGAAATTCTTTAAAAATGGAAAGATCTTTTAATTAGTAATATTTTTATATTAAAAATAAACAAAATAATTGACCCACATATGTAGAGACAACACGTTTCCAACCAATGTTCAAAAGCAATTTATGGTGAAACTGGTCTTTAATCTGAAACTTCTGAATATTCATGTGCAGAAATAAGTAACTTTGATCCGTACCTTACAATATATACAAATGTACAAAACTCCCAGTGGGCCATACATGTCAATGGAAAACATGGAAGACAATCTAAAGAAGTATCTCCATGACCCTGGGATAGGCTAATATTATTAGGCACAATACTAACATCACAGCCTATAAAGGGGGGGAAGTTAGATTTCATAAAAATTTACAAGGCCTATGCTTCAAAATATACTATTAATAAAATGAAAAGGCAAGTCACAGAGTGGAAGAAAATACTTGCAAATAATATAGCTGACAAAGAATTTGTATCAGATTTAAAGAAGTACTTTTAGATTGCAAGAGGGTTGAGTCAGCGGAAGAAGGAAGTAACATCTGTAGCCAGCAAGAGCTACATGGTTTTCACAAGAGACATCTAGCCCAGAAGCCTCTGCTCCGAGAAGTTGTCATGCACAATTGATTGCCCGTTTACTATCAATGAGGGGACCAGAACTGGTCAGTCTTGTCATCTCGTCAGGATCAAAATGAGCCAGTTTAAAAACAGAAAATGAGAATGTCACCACCACCAGGAAAGGAGACGCATCATATCTGACTGCGCCAAAGATTTCTGGGCAAGAGAGGCCAGAATGACCAATGACAGGAGCAATAGAGGTGGTGGAGAACCAGAGGCCTAGTTAAGAACAAGAACTGAGTAGCAGCATGGGAAGTACAGCTAAGATGGTGACTTTTATTGCATTAAAAGGGTTATATGTTCTTCTACGCAATGGTATATGGTAAATGCAGATGGTTTTTAAAGGGCTATATGTAAAGTTTATCAACCTCTGGTGGCCTAGTGATAAAAAGCTGTGCTGCCAGCCCAAAGACTCATCGTTCGAATGCACCCACTGCTCACAGAAGAAAAGATGGGCAATCTCGCATGCGATTTATTGCTTCTGAAAACCCAGTGGAGGGTCAGCTATGAGTCAGTTCAAGCTTGACAGTACAAAACAGAAACACCGTGTTAAGGTTTCAGTGTTCTTCTGGTCCTGCAAAGAGTAAAGGGACCGGTCCTTCTGAGACGGAGAAAGATGCATTAACCTCCAAGCCTGTGGCTGGAGGTGGGCTGACAGAACCCGAGCAGATGCTGCCCCATGGGCTGGTATAAACAGCTGTAATCGGATGGCTTAGTCGAGACTAGCCATTGCTTACAGATGGAGACACACAAAACTTCACCTAGAAAAGAAGGCTCGCTCTTGAGAGAAAAGAATAAGCTTGATTCCTCTGAGTACTGGTTTAACAGGGATGGGCAAATTAGAAATTAGCTCTCTAAAATAAAGGAAGAAAAGTCAAGAAGACGCTATTTCACATGTTTTCATGAGTATTATTAAGAAGACGATCGTGAGGGGGTGAGAATCCTTCACATGTGGAAGCTAATGATGAGAAGCGCCAGCACGTGGCTAAATAGTGAAATAGTACTTTGAGTGGGAACAGGAGAGCTAACCTGCTCAGCATTACTTTCTTTTTAACTAAATTTCTTGCTTATGTGATAGGTCCGGTCTCTTCACTCTGTCCTTTTTGCTAGGGGGAGAATGGGCCCTCCATTTTGAAGTTAGTCCTGCAACATTCAATAATAATATTCAATAATAAGAAAACAAAGTATTTCATTTTTAAATTGGGAAATTAATTTAAACATGATATTTATATTGAAAATTATCACATAAAAAAGGTAGCCGAGTCGATCTCTGGTGGCTTTGTGGCAAGAAGCTGCACTGCAATCTCAGAGGTTTGAGATTCGAATCCACCAGATTCTCTGCTGGAGGAGGGACAATCTCCTCCTGTACCAGTCAGATCTGATTTGATGGTACACACACACACACACACACACACACACACACAATAATAATAAAAATTTTAAAAAAAAGGTAGTCGATACCATTATTTGTTATAGGGAGCTCCGGTGACCACATAAAAACGACAATGAAATATCATTGCACACCAGTTAGAACGGCTGGACTTCAAAAGACTAGTCATTTAAAGCATGAAACCACTGGAACTCCCACACTGGGAGCAAAGATGTAAAATGACACAACTCCTTTGAAAAACAGGTTGGCTGCCTGGTAAAACGTTACACATATTAGCCACTGAAGGTAACCATAAAAAAGGTCACAGCTGCTCTTTGGCAATGACAAAACTGCTTCCTGAGGAAGAAAACCACAACTTATCACTTACAAAAGTCAACTGACTCCAAACTACATTAGAATGAAAATTATTACATTCAAATCAAGCTGAGTTCGCTTAAGGTCTATCTCTTGCTCCATATTCAGTATAGGTTGCATTGCTAGTTTACTCTTCAGATGGGGAAAAAAAACCCACAATTAATAAATCACAACAAAAAAACACAGTAAAAACAAAAAAACTACCTTTCTTAGAAATGAAGTGTTTGAAGACTTAAGAAATGAGAAACTGATGTGTACTACAAGCAACTATCAGTTCTTCAAGATGACTCAATATATCAGAAAAATTACCCAAAATTAATAATAAAAAGAGGAAAAGAGAGTTGTCATCAAGCTGAGTATAAGTGACATTGCCCCTCTCTGTGGTCCATAGCATTTTCAAAGGCAATCTTTCAAAAGCAGATCTATAACTGGCCTTTCTTTTTAAATACCTTTGATGGATTTGAACCACCAACCTTTAGATTAATAGTCAAACAGGAAACTATATAAAACAGATAGGGCCTTAAAATTAGTAATACACACAACTCAATTAAAAATTTTTAAAAATACTTACAATAACATGTTCCTCTAAGTGGATTACCAACATAGCGATTTTCAGAGTCACATCTGTAGAAATACAAAAATGTGTTTACTATTTAACAATGTAATTAAAAAATCATCTTCCTCAAGCAAAATGTCTTTAAACTTTACATTATAAAAGTATTAAAAATTAACTGAAATTGCTCAAAATTAATGAATTCTACAATTAATTCTTCTGATGTTATCTGTAAGGGAGAGGAAAAGTGAATGAAGAATAATAAACAAGAGAAGAATAAAAAGATATGTGGTAAGGCAGACAGGATAAGATTATGAGCACTCTTGCTCAAAAGAGGTGAAGTTCAAGCATGGATGAAGACATAGAGTCATGTTTAGATAGGGGAAGAAAACTGAGTGGTTCATACATCTACATCATATTCTTATTTGTGATCTTCTTTAAGCTTAATATGTTGTTTCAGTTTCTATGCCAATGAGTCTATAAAAGGAAATCACCTCAATGAATTATTTAAGGAAACTCAAATTAAATAGACTATTACAGGCTATTACAGACTATTACAGGTTCAAATGTACATTCCAGTAAGAAGATAACAAGAAACGAAACGCTGTGTGAGTGCTCAAACTCACAAACTCTAAGAGAAACCGAATATAAAGATATGCTGAACTCCAGCAGCAGGAAGAAATCATGAGCACTTCCTAAACTTCTGAGGTTCACATTTTTCAAATTTTATTTTCATAATAAAATCAAACTGATAACTAGCACACAGAAGAGATATGGTCTGGTTTTATAAAATTATAATTATTAGAACATAGTTTTAAAATAAGTTACCATAAAAGTATGTATCAGGATAACCACATACCATAATATTTGAATCATATCTATAAGTCTAAAGAGATAACAGAGGCCTTCAGAAAATGTCTTTTGTTTTAATAAATTCATTAGAACAGAGGGATAAATTAAGCATATAGCACAGAGAGCTAAGCAGAAGAAACTAATAAACCAAACAACCAGGTTATATGTGGCGGATTTTTCACTCATGTGTTGCTAGGGGGAAAATGAAGAGTAATCATCTTCAACACTAACAACAAAATTAAATGTGGACAATATAGCTATTTTGTACAATTAACTTCATTCTCCACTAAAGAAAGAAACTTGAAGGAAGGTTTTCTGCAGCTTCTCCAAACACTGCATTTACCATACATAGTATCATGAAACGCTCAAGCACTTCTGTGGAGTAGACGGACAGGTTTAGAAGCTGAAATGCTCATTACTGCAAGGGGAAGCATTTCAGTCCCTGAAGCACACACAACTGTTCCTTCCTGCAGGCATCACTCCTCAACGCCCACTTCTTTGTACCAAGTACATATAAACTCTAAAGAAAGGATTTCTATATAATTACAATTATTCCCTGTTACAATAGAGTTATTATAAAACAGTATCTAATACACTTAACTTTAGAATAAGTGAGCAGTGAACATATTCTCTCCATTACTCCACAAAATATTAATTCTCTGATCTCATTTGCCCCAGAAGATGGCATTTAAAGATCTAAAAGCCATTAAATTTGATAAATGACCAAGAATTTCAAGTGCTTTTCAATGAACTATATATTGATTTTAAGAGTTATCACATACAGATGCATTTTTTCAATATAGAAGTTATAAAGTTTCCAATTTCAAATTACATGCTTTTATATTATATTGGAAATTATTGCAATACGTTAGCCTTTAACATGATCCAATATTTAGAAAGGGAGGCTAACAATTGCATTTTCCCCAACTCATAAATGGACTTGGAAGAATGAAATTACACGCACGCGCACCTTTAGGAAATAACTTTTACTAGCTTTCACTACGCAAAGCTTAGTATTTTAACAAAAATAAAAGAATTTACACCACTTTGGCAAGAACTAAATTAAGAGGTTTCACAGAGTTTTTGATGTTCAATAGAAAGATTACATTTTCTCAAATTTCAATAACTTAGAGAAACAGTTCAAACATCTTATAAAATTATCTATATTCACCAATAAGTAATAGGAGAATTTGATGTATTATAAGAATATTGTCAAATTTAGAGTCATAAGAGTTAAGTTTAAACAGCAATATAATTTTTGTTAGTTTAATCTCAGATATTATATAAAGAACCAGCAGTGCCTGAAAATAACTAATGTGTACACCCATGTTTATTGCGGCTTTGTTCACAATAGCAAGGAGTTGGAAACAACCTAAGTGCCCATCAACAAACAAATGGCTAGAGAAGCTGTGGTATATTCACACAATGGAATACTATGCTGCATTAAAAAACAAGGAACGCATGCAATATTATTCAAAAGGGGTGACCCTGGAGGACATTATGCTGAGTGAAGTATCTCGGTCACAAAAGGACAAATACTGCATGGTGCCACTGCTGTAAAACAGGACTGACCCAGGGGTTGGGGAGAGACTGAAAAAGATGGGTTCAATAATGTATACTGTATTGAAACAGATGAGGAAGAAAACTGTCCAAAAGGGATATGTGATTAGGTATTTTTGTCATGACAGGAGTCCAGAGCAAAGGCTACATGGTGGAGTGGACCTGGGGGAGGTTTTGTAAAACAATGAAGGAATTTTTCTTTTACTTTTCCAAGAGGGTAGTGTACTAGAGGGAACGGTTGGGAGGGGAGAAAAATGCAACAATGAATGAATGGAAATCCAAAGTCACTGTAAATTTTTACTGAAATTAGTAATAATTAAATTTAAAAACTAAAAATAAAGAAAATAACAAATGACAAAAATTAGAGCTAAGGTAAACCTAACAGTAAAATGTTGTGAATTAAACTCAATCTGAAAGACATTGCTGTTGTTGTTAGGTATTGTTGAGTGGATTATAACTCACAGTGACCCTATGAACAAAGGATCTGAACGCGGCCCTGTCCTGAGCTGTCCTCATCTCTGACACACTTGAGCCCATTGTGACTATCACTCTGCCAATCCATCTTGTTGGGGATCTTTCTCTTTCACTGACCCTCCACATTCCCAACTCATGAGAAGAACCCTTTCCAAGAAATGGCACCTCCTCAAATGTGCCCAAAGTCTGTGAGGCCAAGTTTCACCATTCTTGTCTCTAACGAACACCCTGGTTGCACCTACTCCAACATACATTTGTTTGTTCTTTTGGCAGTGAGTACTTTTTTCCAGTATCACAATTCAAAGGCATCTATTAGTCTTCTGTTTTCTTAATTCCTTCTCCAATTTTCCAGTGCCTAGTAAGTGGCAGAAAACACCATGGCCTGGATTGGGTGCACCTTCATCTTGAAAGCAGCATCATTGTTCATAAAAGACATTAAATAGATATAATCAAATTTATAAGAAAGATTTCTTGTTCTTCATTTCAACACCACTTTATATATCATATAATCAGTAAGTCTGAAAAACAACCAAGTTGAGTCAATGAACCTTTTATGCTGCTAGGAAACTTGATCTTAATGTTCACAGACTTAAAGATATTAAAATGTTCTCATAGCGTCTATAACAACAACAACAACAAAAAAACCAAAAACAGCAAACACCCAAACAAACCACCAAATAACTATTACACTGACAGCAAAATAGAAAGATCATAGATAAAGAATAAGTCCTGCAGCATAGTGGTTTATTTATTGGGTTGTTAACCAAAAGGTCATAGGTTTGAATCCACTAACCTATCAGAGCGTAAGTATCACTGATATTTACAGACTATAACAGAAGCTAGAGACTATTATAGATCACTTAGGGTTGTCTGCCCTAAAACTTTTAAGTGGATATAAGTCTTTTTTAAAAGATATGAACATAAACTAATAACGTCATTTCTACAACAAAGAAACAAGATTAAAGTTTAAGCTGTTTCAAGTTCAAATTCAGATTCTAAAAGGTGACGAGAACATAAGGGAAAATGTATACACACAATATTTTTAAATGGAACACTAGTTTACCATGTTAATCACACTAATATTTCCAAGTTGCTAGTTAAATAATATTTTTTAAATTCTGAACCCCTCTGTATGAAGACTAGACACAAACAGAAGCCTTTAGAAGTCTTCAGCTTGACTTAATTAAAAAGGTAACATCAAAGCCTTTCGGTGCTTAAGCAAGAGACAACCATCTTCACGTCCCACTACGCAAACTGCCAGAGCTTTTCAGAAAACAGATTCAGGCTGAAATATTTATGAGAGACTTTCAAACGATAAATAATGTTATTAAATGTCAACTAAATAATGGTTCTATTTATGTAAATGATCTCATTACAATATAACTTCTTTTAAAAACATATTAAATATTCCCAAGTTTATTAATTTTAAAATAATTTCTGTTCCTGAAGTGTCTAAAAAGCTACTAAGATACATTACCCTAGACACATACAAATTTTCAACTCAGAAACTAAAAAGAACTGTGAGTTAAAATTCTGAAGTATCAAGACATGATATTTTCTGCTAAAAAGCATTAAATGTACTTGTAGTCTTAAGAAAAAATATGGAAATTATAGACAAAATCAAACATACACTTTTGCTTAATTTCAGTTTAAAGGAAATTTAAAAAAGCATATGCTAAAAAAAAGATATGCTATAAAGGAATATCTTATTAACACCGCTACCAAGCTTCTAAATACATTTTTTTTTTAAAATAAAGAAATCTAGTCATAAAGGTATGGTAATCTGCTTTGAATCACCTCTTTTTGCCTGAATTACTAAAGTACTAGTATGAGACACCTAATAAAATTAAATCTCCTTTGGAGGAAGATTTTTATCCTAGGTATTAAATGATGTATAAATATATTTTACAAGTAAAATAAGGCAGTGTAAAGGAAACAAAGAAAAAAATTGACATCAACAGACAAGACAGTAAGAACAAGAAATAACAAAGTCAAAAAACAAATCAACTCATTCTCATTGAATTGGAACCGACTTATAGCACCTTCAAGGACATTTTCAGAGAAAACAAATGACACTGGATGAGCTGGTGGATTTGAACCACCCACCTCTGGGTTGGTAATGCAAATCCTTCCCACTCAGCCACCAGAGCACCTTGTGGTGCCAAAAGACAATGGAAATAGAGCC